CCTTGTGAGTTTTACCTCCAGGAGCTCTACCAGGCCTCACAGTGAATGCTGGAGAAAAGGCCCCTTGTGCTCGGGAGGTGGGGGAAAGTAACAATTTTGAAATATGTCAGAGCATCCTGTTATGAATAAGGCCTCCCCTCAGGAGAAACTATTTTCTGAGAGCCTAGTCTGCCTAGGGATAGGGAAACACCTAATTTACTACCTCCTTCTAGCCAAATTGTCCCACCTAAGGAGAGGGAAAAAAGAAAACTGAGAAGAACTCATGAAGTTCACAGTCCACTGGTATAGTCTCACCAGAAGACTAAGACCTAACCATAGAACTACACAGGGCCTAGCAGAATTAATGCCTGCTTGAGTGTGGTTGATAGGGAAATCATACCGGTATAATAATTCATAGTTTTAATTTGTACATTTCACCTAAAATGTCATATGGTGTCCTTGAGTGTAATATTGTTGTTGCAGAATTACATGCTTATGATTTTGTAATAAAATATTTTGCAATAAAAAGGTGTGTTATTTGTGCCAGACCCTGTATAAGGCTTCTCCTGCTCCTGCATACTTAAAGGGCCATTTACCATACTTCTTTTAACTAGTACCTCATGTCTGCCTTTCAACAAATTATTACAAGGTACACTGAAAGGCAAAAAACACAGTTTGATGAGACTGACCAAGCATCAAAACTAGAGTCAGATATGACAGCAAAGTTGGAATTATCAGAACAGGAGCTTTGAAAAACTATAATTAATATGCTAAAGATGTTAAAGAAAAAAGTAGGTAACACACAGGAACAGATGGATAATATAAGCAGAGATAGAAAACCTAGGACAGAATAAAAATGAAATGATTGAGATAAAAAACATTCTATGATGGGGGAATGTGGGTGGGAGGGGGTGTGCAGGGTGGAGGGAAGCAAAGGGGGAAATGGGACACCTGTAATAGCATAATCAATAAAATATGATAAAAAACACTTCATGAGAAAAGAAAAAATGACTTTGATGGGCTCATTAGTAGTAGGTATGGCAGAGGAAAGAATCTCTGAGCTTGAGCATATATAGCAACGGAAACCACCAAATTGGAAAGCAAAAAGACAGAATACAATATTTAAGTACTGTGGAACAGCTACAGTGTATGTAACAAATATGTAATAGAAATGCCAGAAGGAAAAAAAGAAGCAGTATGTGAAGCAACAATTATTGAGAGTGTTCCAAATTAATGAGACACCAAATCACATACCCAGGAATCTCAGAGAACATTAAGTAAAATAATGCAACCCCCCCCATCCCACCACCAAAAAAAACACACCTAGGAATATCATAGTCAAACTTCAAAAAATGGGAGATAAAGAAAAAAATCTTAAGGCCAAAGGAACAGAATACCTTACCATAGTTAAGAACTACATCTGAGTTCTCAGAAATCATACAAACAAACACAGAGTGGCGTGAAATATTTGCAGTATTGAGAGAAATAAGAGTCTACCAACCTAGAATTCTGTACCCTGAAAAATTATCCTTCAAAAGTGAAGAGGCAATAGAGAGTTCTCAGAAAAATTGAGGGAATTTGTTGCCAGTAGTTTTGCCTTGAAAGAAGTGTTAAAAGTTCTTCAGAAAGAAAATAACACAGGTTAGAAACTCAGATATACATAAAGAAAGGAAGCATGTTAGTGAAAGAATAAGTGGAAGTAAAATAAAAACATATTTTTCTTATTAATTGACCTAACAAATGTCAGGTTGCTCAAAATAATAATAGGAAAATGTAGATTTTGGGTCAAGATGGAGGTGTAGGTAGACACGTTTCTCATCCTCATGCAACAGCAAAAAGAATTACTCTAAACCTCAAAAAACAAAACAAAACAAAACAAAACAAATCAAAACCATCCAGAACTGTCAGAAAACTGAACAATATGGAAGTTCAATAACCAAGGATTTAAAGAAGCCACATTCATCCAGATGGGTAGGAGAGGCAGAGTTGTGAAGACAGGTGGAGAAGCGAGGAGATACAGAGTGGTGTGGAGAGGTGGCAGCGGCAGCAACAGCAGAGGAACAGGTACGGGTGGCCCCACATTCATGTGTTGTGATTAAAAATAGGAGGGATACCTTGGGCATGAGCAATCACTGACACAGGCCAGATGGCACAGTCCAGAGTTCCACCATCAGGAAGATAAATCCCCATAACTTGTGGCTGTAAAAACCAGGGCAGGTTGGGGCGGCAGAAGAAACAGCCGATTTTCAGGAAACTCTGCTTAAGGGGCCTGCCCAATCTTAGAACATTTGCAAATGCACCCACTCTGAGATTCAGGACTAGGGCAGTAGCTGGAAGGGCGCCAGTCACAAACAGGGGCACTCCCCCTGTGACTGGAAGTGACTGAAAGCAGCGAAGTGACTGGAAATGGGGCAAGGTTTGCCAGTCACACCTTTAGAAGCCAGGCAGAGGCACAGTCCCCTCTCTGAGCCCTTCCCCCACATACAGCCACAAAACAGTGATGCAGGCTCACCCTTGCAATTACCTAAGGCTCCAACCCACACAATTTACAGGTGCCTTTTCTATAATTGGTGACCATACTAACTCAAGGAGTCAAAGTGGCTCTTCCTGATACACAGAAACAAACAGATGGGGGCTACCAAACTGAGGAGACAAAGAAATATGGCCGAAGTGAAAGAATAGGATAAGCCCCCAGAAAAAGAACTAAATGAAACAGAGATGACAAACCTACCAGGTGCAGAGTTCAAAACACTGGTGATCAGGATGCTCAAATAACTCACTGAGTATGGCAAAAACATAAAGGAAGAAATAAAGGTTACTCTAAGTGAAATAAAGGTTACACTAAGTGAAATAAAGAAAAATCAACAGGAAACCACCAGTGAAGGGAAGGAAGCCAAGACTCAAACCAATGATTTGGAACATAAGGTAGAAATAGGCATTCAACCATAAAAGAAAGAAGAAAGAATTTTTTAAAAACTCAAGGATAGTATAAGGCTTACCCTCTGGGACATGTCCGAATGTGCCAATATCTGAATCATAGGGAGGCAGGAGAAGAGGAAGAGCAAGAAATTGAAAACTTTTTTGAAAAAATATATGAAATAAAACTTCCCTAATTTGGAGAAGAAAATAGACATACAAGTCCAGGGAGCACAACAAATCACAAACAAATTGGTCCCAAAGAGTACCACACCAAGACAATTTTAATTAAAATGCCAAAGGTTAAAGATAAACAGAGAATTTTAAAAACAGCCAGAGCCAAACAGAGTTAACTACAAGGGAGTTCTCATAAGACTATCAAGTGATTTCTCGAAAGAAACTTTGCAGGCATGAGGAGACTGGCAAGAAGTATTCAAAGTGATGAAAAGCAAGGACCTACAACTAAGATTACTCTATCCAGCAGAGCTATCATTTAGAACAGAAGGGCAGCTGAAGTGCTTTCCAGACAAGGTAAAGCTAAAGAAATTCATAATTACCAAGCCATTATTACACGAATTGTTAAAGAGATTTGTTTAATAAAAAGATCAAACTATGAACATCAAAAAGGCAACAAATTCACAACTATCAACAACTGAATCCAAAAAAACAAAGTAAACAACCAGAACACAAACAGCATCATAGGTGTGGAGATCATTTGTAGGGTTATCAACTCGGAGGGAAAGGGAGTGAATGGGACAAAAGGTGCAGGGATTAAGAAGTACAAATTGGTAGGTAGAAAATAGATGGGGATGTTAAGAATTGTGTAGGACATGGAGAAGCCAAAGAACTTATATGTATGACCCATGCACTAAGGGTGGCACTGCTGGAGGGAATCGTGGTACTGAGCAGAGGGGTACAAAAAGGGGGAAAAACTGGGACAACTGTAATACCATAATCAATAAAATATACTTAATAACAGGAAAGTGTGTTCAATTAAAAGTATGTTATGTATACATGTGTGTATATGCATATATGTTTATATAATAAATATAGTGAATGACAGCAATGATATAAGAGATGCATGACAGGAATTAGGAATATGTTATTACTTGTGAATCTGTACAGTGTTTTCAAAGTGGTGAAGAGATTAAGAAATACAGAGGTAGCTACAGAATAGTTATGGGGGTGTAACACAGCACAGGGAATATGGTCAATAATAGTCTAATAACAGTGTGTGGTGTCAGATGGGTGGGATTTACTGGGATCACTTAGTAAGTTATGTAATGTTTACTCACTGAAGTGTACACATGAAACTAATATAATAATGTATGTTAACTGTAATTGAGATATAAAAATGATTTCATTTTATTTTATTTTTTTAAAGATATTATTTATTTATCTTCAGAGGGGAAGGGAAGGAGAGAGGAAGAGAATATCAATGTATGGTTGCATCCTGTGGGTCCCCTGCTGGGACCTGGCCTGCAACCCAGGCATGTGCCCCGACTGGGAATCGAACCGCGCGATACTCTGGTTCACAGGCCCGTGCTCAATCCACTGAGCCACACCAGCCAGGGCTAAAAAATGATTTTAAAAGAAAACGAAAAAAATCTTTCCCTTTCAGTAGCCCTTTGGAGCTCCTATTTGTTTGGTCAATGCTGCCCCATTCCTGAATCACTTAATAAAACCAATCAGATGTTCATTTGTACTCCTTGATTTTTTTGTTTATTTTTACATCATTACTCCACTGTTTCAATCACCGTGGCTTTCTAATAAGTCTTGCTAAGAGTAGCATATATTGCCCAACTTTGTTCTCCCCTTCTCCCAAGTTCACTGAACCCTAAGCAAGACCTTTCCAGTTTTCCTTCGGAAGACCAGGGCAATACTCTAACACAAGACCACGCCCTTGAGACTCCAGCGTCCTTTGAATCCTACGTGCGCCTTGAGGGCAGCGCGTACAATACGCTTGCGCAGCCTGAAGGCTGTAATTGGACAGAGCTTGGCGAAGGGGGTTACCTCATTTCCGGGGTGGAGATTGCAGCTGGATGACCAGTGGGTCCTGCAACAAGGAGGTAGGGGCTGGGTTTCCGGGGGCGTGGGGTTTGCCTAGTGCTGAGAAGCGTGGGTGTATTCCGACTCTTTCTGATTCTTGGCCAGGTGAAGGTTGCCAGGGGATACAAAGGCAGAGCGGAGGCGGTTGGCTGGGCTTCCGGTCCGCCTTCCTCTTCTCCCGTCAGGATTCCCCCAATCCTGGAGGATGTCTCGGCGCAGGCCCGCGTCCTGGAGCTGGTAGTTTGTCTTCTCGGAGCTTTGGCTTCGTTGAGCTTGGTCTGCGCCGCTGGAAATGGGTGTTTTGAGGCGGCGGGACGCCCACGTACCGACGACTGAGTGTTCTCGGCTTGTGCCTGTTCTTTCTGCACCACCTGGACCGGACCCTGGGAGTCCACCAGAGCGTGTGCAAGTGGCATGACCACGAGTCAGGCACTACTGACGGCTTGTACTGTAGCTTGGGGTTGGTGAGTTCGGATTAGCAAGGGAGATCCCATTTTTCTGAGGCAGGCCAGAGTGCCGACTCTACAGCCCTCCTGGGAATGGCTGTTGGAGATGTCTCACTGAGATTCTTGGTTGCTCTGCCGCCTTCTGGTTGTGCGATTTGGGCAAACGTCTTAAACTCTTTATCGCCTGTGTCCTCAGCTGCAACTTTCACATCCATTCATAAGGTTGTCACGCATAAATGAGGTTGCACATGGAAGGTAGTCAGCTAGGGAGGCTTCCAGATTAGCAGTTGACTGAAATTTATGTAGTCCTAACAAGGGTTGCTTTAAAGGAGGCATTATAAAAATGGATATACATACATTGTTTTGCCGAATTTTTTTTTAGGAAACAAGAATAAATAATTTATTTGGAATTTCTTTGGGTTCATATATTTCAATACAGTACCTTGACCAATGGGGTAGGTTGGGGTTCTTTTATTGTAGAAACTATAGACTCTGAAAAAACCTTTTTTGGTGTTGGGTCTTTGTTATCATCTTTTGGGGGGTTAGATTGACCTGGTAGAAACACTAGTACGGTAGTTTCTAAATACTACTGTATGGTATATGCTGTGTCATGTAGGTACGAAGGAAGTACTGTTTTAGGTCCCTTTCTACAGATGAAGAATTAAGGCTTGGAGAAGTGAAACGATGTGTCCAAAGTTGAAAATCTAAGAGGACAAAAACAAAGTTAAAGGTGGTGTATTGGTGTAGGTAGAACGCACCAGGGAGGGGGTGGGAGGTCACTCTGGGATGCTAGAGAACAACAGAATGAATGGATGGATATTTTCTCTTGGCATGGAGTTTCCTACTGGCAGAAAAGGGGAGTTGTCTTAAAGGCAAAAGCCTGTTTTATGTGCATGTTCTGGGCTAAGGTCAGCACAGCTTAGGTTTTGCAGTGAGGTTTGGAACCCTGCTTCCCTGAAGTAATGGATTCCTGATGTGCTTTGCTTTAAAAGAATGAGACACTCTACACAAGAGTATGCAAGCCATATAAATGCATGATCATCTCATGTCTAAAAAGGTTCTTAGCTTTATAAACAGATCTGTTTCAGGGTCCTTATAGATAACACATCCTGTAGCATACTTAAAATACTTGTTTTATTTGGATTTGTAACTGCATAAAAGGAGCTCTGTGCACTGATCAAGAGCATGAAATGTGCCTATCCTACATACAGTCTTTTTTGTTACTATTATTTAAAAATAATACTATTCATTCAGTGTTATGTGCAAGACACTGTACTAGCATTTGATTGGACCATTCAGTTCTCACAACAGCCCTGTAAAATAGGAACAATTATCTTCATCTATAGAGAGAAATGGACTCAGAGATAGTAAGAAATTTACCCAAAACCACAGGGTAGGAAGGGCAGAGCCAATTCCATGTCACTCTCAAACCTAGTGCTTATCTATAATTCATTCCTTCATTTAACAGATATTTATTATTACTTTTATTGGCTTTCCATTTTAATGTAACCATACACTTATTTTTTTATTTTATGATTATCAAGGACCTGCAGTGGGCCAGACTCTAAGATGTGGGGGATACAAAGATGACTGATTAACAGATATTTATTGAACACCTACCTTGTACTAGCATTGTCCTAGGTGTTGGGTATTATAATAATGGCCAAAACAGACACAGACCCTGACCTCAAGTTGCTTATAATTATAGCAGGGAAACTAGATAGTAAACGGAGAATCACAAACTATTGATTACCATTGCAGTACATGCCATGGAGGGTGGTAGAGGGTCGCACCAGAATGCATAATGGGGTCGTCTGGCAGTGGGAGGAAGTGGGAATAAACAGTGAAGGATTTCCTGAGGAAAGAAACATTGGGTTGGCCAAAAAGTCCATTTTGTTTTTTTCCGTCAACTAAAAAACACATTTTTCGTTTTCACCAATAACTACTGATTTGGATATTTTGAGTATGTGGACTGTCTCCAGCTGTTGGCTACTAGTAGGTAGAGGCTAGGGGTGCTGCTAAACAGCTTCCAATGCACAAGACAGCCTCAAAGCAAAGGAGTGATTATTTGGCCAAAATGTCACTAGTATCAAGAAACTTCATAAACCACTTTTGACATGTTTGATCAGTCACAGCACCTTCTCCATATACTGCACAAATCTTTTTTTGCATTTGAGTTGCGATTTTACCTTTCTTGAAGTGATAAAGCATAATATTCTGAAAATGTTGCTTATCTTCTTTCACCTTCAATATCAAAATGGCTGCACAAAAATTCACCAGTTTGGTAATTTTTTAGTGTATGTGCTGCTGAAGCGAGCACCAATTTGTTAATTTTTTAAACACTGTATTTCATCATATTTGTGGTTTGCAAAATGATTTAATAAATATTTTTTAGCTCCACTATTGTCCAAGCCCTAGGATACAAACATGTGTAAAGACACTCTTTCCTTATTCTGTGCATAATTTAAAGTTTTAGTTGCCATCCATGTAAGATGCTGCAGTTGTTTTAGCGACATTATTCAACATACTTGTGTAGCATCTACTGTGTGCTAGACACTATTCTAGGAATATAGAACAAACAGACATGGTCTCTGTCCTGATGAAACTTAAGCTCCTGGTTAGGTCTGGAGGACAGAGGGAGGGAGAAAGTCAGGGGGATGAAGTTGGAGAGGTAAGTGAGAGTCAGACCACACAGGTCTCATGCATGCCAAGGATTTGGGCTTATTCCAAGAATGGCGGGGAGCCACTGAAGACTTTCAGTCACAGGAGTAGCACCAGTTGATCTTTGTTTATTAAAGATCCTCTGGCTCCTCAGTAGAGGCAGAAGTTGATCAATTTGAGGGCTATTTAGGAATTACCATCAGGGGGGTTTGGTAACAGAACGTATGACGTTCTACTGTGGGGTGAGAAGGGAGAGGAAAGTGGGCTAATTCTTCCTTGTCTGGTTTGTGCATCTGAGGTAGGAAATTCTGGAGGAAGAGCATGAGTTCAATTATAAATGTCTTTGAGATAATACAAGTAGAGATGCCACGAAGGCAGTAGTATAGGAGGATCTAACCCTTAAATAACAGGAATGGGCTAAATCTCCAAAAAGCTCTCATCAGGGAGGAATATTTTGCCTGATATTGAGGCCCCCTCCCCCACCACAAAGACAGCCCAATAGAAAATGTAGAATGCTCTTCATATTTATGTAGGGGGAAAGTTAAAAATAAAATCTCCTGTCAACCTAGAAAATGGTTTTCTCCCAATGTAGAAAGAAAGAAAATAATCCTACTTTGGAATAACCATTAACCCAGAATGGAACAGCCTAATCTACTAATGAGATTACAAAAACAAAGAAGAAACCCCATCATTTATAATACATTACACCGTGTTTTGAGATTAATGGTAATGTATTCTCTTGTAAGAAGACTCCAGGGCACTAGCTGCTGTCTGTTCTCCATTATAGTTCACTCTAAATTCGTCTTTAATGTTTACTTACATTTAAAAGAGATAGTTTCTAGGCTTTTTAGAAAAAGATATCTGGCTTTTATCACTGGCTAGAGTTCGTCTGTTTAGCTTTTTAAAAGATTTGCATACTTACAAAAGGACAAAGGAAGGGATTAAAAATACTAGGTTTTGAAGTGCACTAAGAAAAAGGAGGGAGAAAAAAAGATCTCTTTCCCTTTGGCAACAGGGAAAATTCTGCTTTTAAAATTACTTACAGTGTAGGAAAATGTTGAGCTGGAAAGTGCACAGTATGGGGATTTTTTCTGGAGATGATTTTTATTTAGTTTTATTTTTTAATTTTTATTTAAAAATATATTTTATTGATTATGCCATTACAGTTGTCCTATTTCCCGCCTTCATTTTCCTCCACCCTGCATACCCCCTCCCCCACCATCTCCTCCCTTTAGTCCATGTGTCACAAATTCTTTAGATTCTGTATTTCCCATACTATTCTTGCCTTCCCCCCTATTTTTTACCTACCCTATAGGCTACTTAGTCTCTGTACCTTCTCCATCCTTCTCCTCCTGCCACTCCCCTGTTGCTAACCCTCCTTGTGATCTCCATTTCTATGGTTCCACTCCTGATCTAGCTGTCCTCTTAGTTTGCTTTTGTTTTTAGGTGTGGTTGTTAATAACTGTGAGTTTGCTGTCCTTTCACTGTTCATCTTTTTTTTTTATCTTCTTTTTCTTAGGTAAGTCCCTTTAACATTTCATATAATAAGGGCTTGGTGATGATGAACTCCTTGAACTTCACCTTATCTGAGAAGCTCTTTATCTGCCCTTCCATTCCAAATGAAAGCTTTGCTGGATAGACCAATCTTGGATGTAGCTCTTGCCTTTCATGACTTGAAATACTTCTTTTCAGCTCCTTCTTGCCCGTAAGGTCTCTTTTGAGAAATCAGCTGACAGTCTGATGGGAACTCCTTTGTAGGTGACTGTCCCCTTATCTCTTGCTGATTCTAGGATTCTCTCCTTCATTTGAATCTTGGCTAATGTAATTATGATGTGCCTTGGTGTGTTCCTCCTTGGACTCACCTTCTTAGGGACTCTCTGAGTTTCCTGGATTTCCTGGAAGTCTATTTCCTTTGCCAGATTGGGGAAGTTCTCCTTTATTATTTGTTCAAATAAGTTTTCCACTTGCTGCTCTTCCTCTTCCCCTTCTGGTACCTCTATAATTCGGATGTTGGAACGTTTAAAGATGTCCTGGAGGTTCCTTAGCCTCCCCTCATTTTTTTGAATTCTCGTTTCTTCATATTTTTTTTGTTTGGTCATTTTTTTCTTCCTCTGGTCTACTCCCTTGATTTGAGTCCCAGCTTCCTTTCTATCACTATTGGTGTCCTTGCATTTCCCTTCATTTTACTTAGTTTAGCCTTCATTTGTTCCTCTAATTTGTGACTAAAATCAACGAGTTCTGTGAGCACCCTGATCACCAGTGTTTTGAACTGTGCATCTGATAGGTTGGCTATCTCTTGGTCACTTAGAAGTATTGGCTCTGGGCCTTTGAGCTGTTCTTCTTCTTGAGCCATAATG